GAAGCTGATTTCTCATTTAAAACTTCAGATTATGACATTTCTGAAAAACTTGTATGAAAAATAACATGAGAAAGTATGTCATTGTCTCAGAATACAAAACATCAAAAGTTACAGTAATTTTGCAAAATATGTCATGATACGTGATGACCACTTCCAGTCTTTGGCATAGTTACTGAGGTTTTGAATCTGAACTTACAGAAAGCCAAGCTGGGTTGACTGTCTTTTAACCTTCTTCAAACTTCACTTTGGCCTGTTGGAAGGTTAGTTATAAATCAAGATAAATTCAACAGGGATTTAAATTAGATAAGGGGCAAAAGAAATCAAGTGATGCCCCTCTGTTTCCTAAACAGTTGTACAGATATTGAGTAATTTATCAACTTCTATTAATTCACACAGAATAGTTTTACTTATTGTCTGTATGTTCCTGGGATTTTAGTCTTATTACTAGGAATTCCTGGGTTTCATCATGTATGCTTGTTCATATCTTGAATGTTTTCTGGTCTGCCAGTCCAGAGAATGTCTTTAAAATATTGCCTTATGGGATCTTACAGTTAGAAACCATAACAATTTGTGAGGTCCAGTATAGAGCTTGAAATATAAGCCTGTTCACTGGAGAGTTTTGTCCTTTTTTCAATATTGCTGTTTTCCACTTCACTCTGGCTTGGCCCATTCCGATTTCACAAAAACAAAGTGAACAAAAGAGAGCCTCGTGGCGCAGTGGTTAAACTCCCATTTCACAAAAACAAGTAATGAACAAAAGAGAGTTTCGTGGCACAGTGGTTAAACCGCTGTACTATGTACTGCAGCCAAAACTGTGCTCACGACCTGGGGTTCAATCCCAGGTAGCGGCTCAAGGTTGACTCAGCCTTCTATCCTTCCGAGGTCGGGAAAATGAGTACCCAGCTCGCTGGGGGGGGGGGCAATGTGTAGCCTGCATAATTAACTTGTAAACTGCCCAGAGAGTGCTTGAAGTGCTATGGGGCGGTATATAAGCAGCATGCTTTGCTTTGCTTTGCTTTGCTTTGCTTTAAAAATTGTTGCTGGCCTACTGATTGATGGATGGGTTATTTAACTTATATCAAGGCACTGTCAGAGCAGATTTTAGAGACTTACTGTCATGAGGGGAAAAAAAGAAATCCTTACACTTGGTAGACTATAAATGTTCATAATCGATAAATTATCAGATTGGTTCTTCACCTGTACAGGAAAACCTTTTTTACATCCATATGTGTGGAAGAAGACATTGATTAATTTTAGTAATTAATTGTAGTGCTACCATGTATTCAGGTTAGTTAATGTTAACAAAATTAGTAAAAGCTTTAATAATTTTTATTTAAAGAAAATCTGTTTCAAAAGACGAGTGTTATGATTGGCTTTTTTAAAAAACATTTCCTGTACAATGTTATCAAATGTTGTGTTTCAACATGGAGTCCCTAAACACTAGAGTAGGAGAAGAAATCTTAGCTGGTTAATTATGGGAGTTTTGGTTGGTTGATTGAAGCCGCATGGATCTGCATATGGATAAAACAACATTTTGTTAAAAATAAAATTTTATTTTTTGATAATGTAAACATACGTATGCCACAACAGATTATTCTTAAGGGAAAACATTCCCTTTTTTGAGCTATAAGAATAAATGCCTCTGTGATCTGCATGATTGTCTAAGAGTAGCTTTTTAATAAACCAAAACATTTTAATATATTAATTGGACTGATTAACTAACTAAAAGTTGCTGCCCTACTAAACATGTTGGTGATGATATGTTCCACCCATCCACCCCCAGGGGGTATCTGGCTAGCTGCAAACTTTCACAACAGACATGATCCCTTTGTTGTCTGTCCATGCTGGTTTGCATGGGTAGTGGTGGATAAAGCCTTCACACCCTCTTCATTCTTTGTATTCTTGGTGGTACTTCTTTGAAAGAGTGAGTTGGATCCAGCTGCTGCTTAGAATCATGTTTCCAAGCTTTCATAAACTTTCCTGTTCTGAAGCTGTAACAGCAGTGACAGTCAAGACTAGAAAACCTAACATTTTAACGATGTGTTGAAATCAACAGAGTTGACTTTTTTTTTGCTGGCCTTGTGTGTGGCAATTCAATATGTGCCCATGTCATCACTCAACATGTCCTGGTTTAACCTCTTGAGCACATACTGACCTGTTCAGTTTTATTTGCCTTGTTATGAGCGTCAACATTGGTCCATAGACTGCCAGTTATGCGGAAGGTGAAATCTGAGTAAAATCCTGGCAGGATTAAGACCAAAAATCATATGGAGCAGATCCATGGAAGAATTAGTATGGAAAAATCATTTATAAGCCAGAATGTAAACTGAGACATTGGTCCAAGGCTGATCTCAAATAAGATGATGCAAGATAATAAATAAGTGAGCAGCCAGGCAAGGAAATAATTAGGGAAACTACGAAATGGGAAGGAAGCGGGTGAGAGAGGAGGACTAGAGAAATCGCTAGAATATAGCTAAATGAAGACCAATATAAAATCTAGATAATCAACCTAAAAATGCTGAATTGCCCCTGAATGTTCACTCTACAGAATGCAGTTGCTTGGCAGAGACACTATTCTTTATATATGTAGTGAGAACAGAGCATGTAAGGCTGTGAGTGTGATACTATTAGGGGAAAGATTTCCACAGAATCTCAAAACCTGTTGACCATTTGTTTCAAAATTGGAGTTATCAGCCGAAGCTTGCTGTAGGAGCAACGCCATTCAGATACCCTTGTGTGTGGTTTGGAAGCTTCTAACCAAATTTAGTTGTGTTATCATCCATTCTTCAGCCATTGGTGAAACCACCGTTTGTTGGCAGTAAGCAGGCGACACGTCTTTGGTACCAAGAGTTCTGGGGTCTGCCTGTAGTTGCAAGATGAGGCGGCTGCCTCAGGCGGTGTCTTGAACAGATACCAAAGTATCATTGTATTCTTCCTACCAGCCATGAGCAGAGGTGCTTGTGGGACTTTGTGTTTTCTATGTCAAAATAATTTAATTGGCCTGGGGCCCTGTGCATCATGACTTGTTAGGGGGCAGCATTTACTCCTCCAGTTGGGGCATATAAATGTCTTTGGCCAGTCCTTGACATAGAAAATCTTTCCCCTTGGTTGCTTTCTCTCTTTCTCTCTTTCTCACTCTCTTTTTCTTTGTTGCTGTGCCTGTTTGTCCAACCTCGACTCATGGATTCTGTTGCTTATTTTTCCATTTGGCGCCTGTAGTCTTTTTAAAGTGGTCAGTGATGCTTTACCCTCATAAGCATCTGATTCCTGATAAATAATCCCCCTTTGCCCTTGAGTGGTAATGAGCTTGTTAGGTTCTCTTCTAGAATACCATGGTGATCGTATACAACAGGACTGAGGATGTACCAAATGTTTGAACCCTGTTTACATTTTGGCTCCAAAATAAGACCAGAAATACAAGCATGTTTGACATTTCCTAGTGATAAATGAGTTGCGTGCCTGCAATCATATGAGACACATGCTAAGTAAAGTGTAGAAAGAACATCAAATACACATAGTGCAGGAAGATGTCATCCTGTTACATCACCTTTTTTTTTTTTTGCTTGTTGGTCAGCTTCCACACTTCACCACACCAGTGTTTTCACAGAACTTAGCTGTGATGTTTTTCCAAAAACGTAGTTGTTGCCTTCAGATTTTGATTTTGTTCAGTGTGTTTTTCAAATGTCCGCTTCCAAGAATAACCCTTCATTTTAGGAATGATCTTGCTCCAATAACCTCAGTGTTAAATCCATAGCAGTTTAGGTTTCAGCCGAAGTCACACAAAGTTCTCTGCTGCCATCCCAACAAAAACAGCTTCCTGATTGCTATTCCTTATTGCTGAGTGAGCACAGTGTCCTTCTCAGCCATCTCTTCATTTATTTCACTGGGAAGCTTCCCATTTTCACCATAGTTCATTGCCTCTGGGCAGCACAACCCTCCCAGCACTCCTGGAATGGGCAGGAGGGGGTGGGGTAGGGCTGAGTAGACAAACTAGGAAGAATTTGTGCTGGCAAATAAATCCTATGCACATTGCATAATGTTGGGTTTAAAGCAGCCTCAGGTGGCTTAAAGGATTCTAGGCTGCCGTGCAGTTTGTGGTGGATGTAAGGACAAAAAAATTTGAAAGCTAGGCAAAAATGAAAGTCCCTCAAAGATCTGAAGGAAGTTTGTATGAGAGCATCTTTCCCCTTGTACCTCATGGTTTTCCCTTGCAATCATATTACACCTTTACAGTAGAGTGAGTGGCTTTGGATCGCCATGTAATGTTGGACTATAGTTTTCCTTGCCCAACTTTTTAGTGGGCCCACTGAGGATGATGGCGATTATAAACCAATGACTTCTGGGAACACAAGGTTGAGAACTAGAGCAAGCGCATTGAATCAGTTCGGATTTAGTGAGTCAGCTACTCCACAGGTTCCATTGATTTGACTGGATCTACTCTAGTGGCAACTTACTTTAGCATAGTTAATTGCAACTAAAGTAGGCGCATTTGAAACAGTGGAACTTTTGGAGGAGTTGACTCGCCAAAACCCCACTGGATCTGTTCTAGTTCTGACTTTCCGTCTTCAGCAACAGGATTTCAGCCAATGTCTACCAAACTTACCAAAACTATTGCACTTGGTAACTGTACATATGGTTGAATTTAATCTGTATCCTGGAATATTTGTGAGCTTTTAAACAGATTAGACTCAATAGTTAATCACGTTTTCTCAGAAGAAAAACTAAGTTAAAATGTTATATTTTAAAGTACTGTAGCCCTATTGACTGTCAGGAAACCTCTTCACATTTCACTTCCAGCTGATTCCACTCACACAAACACTGAGGTTTTTTATTAAAAGAGTTTTACCCAGGCAGTCTTCATTACTTCGTAGGTAGGTGGACATCCTTGATTAAAACATCTAATTATGAACTTGCAAGAACTATAATTAATGCTTGGATGGAAATTGAAGTGTTGTTATTTACACTCTACAAAAATCCTTCCCCCTTTGGCTGTCTTGCAGAATCCCCGGAGATTGGCCCATCTGTTGTTGTCCACACCAGTGTGTCATTTGGAACAGAATATTTGGAGTGGGATAAAGAAAAGGTGCAGCCGTTGATCCTAGATCAGATAAAAGAAATTATACCTGATCTGCCCAAACCAGCAAGCATTAAATGCCAGAAGTGGAGATATTCTCAGGTAATTTCTGATAACAGTTGATAGTAAAATCCATGTATCAGCCTCCATCTCTTCTAAGTTGTTCATTGTTGGAGGGACTTTCATGTATACCCAGATATTAACCCCTTGAGTAACTCTTCCCTCTGATTTTGGGAGGCATCTAAAGAAGAGCTATTATATAAATATTTGTTGTTTTAAATACTGTGCAACTTATGGTAATCTTAACAATGCTTTCAAGATGTACGAGAGAGCGGAGATTTGAACTCAGATCTCCAGAATCCTTGTCAACCACCTTCTCCATTACAGCAAATTGGTTCTCACAGAGATGTAGAGATTACTGTTGTATCAGGATTTTGTGCCTTGTTGCACCCTAGGATGGCTATATGAAAACTGCACAGAGCTCCTCTACCTCTTATACCAGTGTGGAAGAGAAAATATTTGTAATTATTGCAGTAATGGCAAGATTACCTTCGGAAATCTTCTACAGTAATAGTGCAGGCTGGTCTGAACCTATTGGTAGATTTCTATATGATTTCCAGCAAATTGACAAGGGTTTCTGACTCCAGATTATTTGAAAACAGCAACAAAATGAATTCCACGACAAAACAACATCAGAATGAACAAAGCAGAAATCACTTTTTATTGTGAAAGGATAGTGAGGTGTTTAATTCAAAACTAACTTCTAGACTTTGTATTCATTGGCTAAAATCCTATTATGGATTACACCAGCACTCATGTAATTGTATAAATCATGGTGGCAAATTGGCACTAATTAATGAGTTGCAACTTGCATTCCAATCACACAACTTGACAGCGACAGGGAATGTGAGCAGTAACTTGTTAATTAGCAGTGATTTCCTGCTACAATTTATGCAGTTACACTTATGCTGGTATAGATGGACAACAGGATTCTAGCCACTGCAGTCATTAAGTGAATATCTTTTGTTCTAGGCTTCAGTTTGCAGATTTAGAGTTTTTAATTTAAAACAAACAAGTTAATGCTTACTCAACTAAAGCGAAATCTCACAGATGTCAGCATCGTCTAAATCGATATGCATGTCCTGAGAAAGATGAAGAAAGCATAGAAATATTCTGTGAAGAACTCAGAGATGTTATTGAGTATATGAGAAAGTAGCACATACATTTCATAATGAGAGATTTTATTGCTAAGATGGGAAGGAGTCTGCAGGCAGGATAGGTACTGTGAAGAAAAAATAAATGTGGGAGACACGTGCTACAGTTTCCTGAAGGAAGAGAATTTGTAGACAACTCCACCACATCCATATTACCATCAAGGAGACTGCATGCATAGAAATCCCCACAAGACAGCATTGGCAGCAATGTCATAAGAAAACACATGGATGGCTTCTGAGTTAATCAGAGACACCTAAGCAGTGTAAAATGACTGAGGAGTTATCCCAACCCTGATGAGAATTCAGATTATAATTTTGTTGTCCCTATGAGTTACTGTAAATCAAAGAAATGGCAAAAAGGTAAAAGCAGATAAAAAACAGAAGCTAAACAGCTATGTGATCTAATAATATATACTGTTTAAGAAGGGACTTCGTGAAGGGGTTCATAAAACTGCAAATTGTACAGATATAAATGCAGTTTGTAGAGGTGGCAGATGTGATCTTACGAGTGGAAATATAAAGGAAAAAAGTGAATGACAGACATAATGTTAGAGATACTGCAAAGCAGGGGTCCCGATCATGCCATGGCCTTGGCAGGACCAGGCCACGGAGACGGATCTCCCACCACCACCCCATGTACGCCCTCCCCACATATATGCACCAACACACGCATGCCGTACCCATGGACGCACAGACGCAAGCACACCCCATGGACGCATGGGGCCCGCACATGAACGCACGCACACCCCACCCATGCATGGATGCCCCGCCTCTGCACATACAGATGCACACACACCTCGCCCACACACACATGGACAACAATGCGCCCCCACCAGCTGAACCAGTCTGCAGTTCAAAAAAGGTTGGGGACAACTGCTGTAAAGGGATAAAAGAGGGCAAAGGTAGAATATTGTAGAAGAGCATCCAAAATAAAATTGGAGAACACAAGGCAAAAGGTGGTCCAGTGTGCAGAAATAGAAAATGAGAGATCTACTACTCCTTTTCTGTTCCTGAAAGGCCAAGGAAGGAGCAAACGTACATTTAAAAAAGTGGGAGATAAAATTATAGTGTGAAATGAATACATTAAATCGCTGTGTATATATACACTTTCTGTACACACAATGCACATTCAGGATAAGTGAGATAGTATTTCAGGAATGGTTTTACAGGGGCTGTTTATACACGGAGGAGGACGATGCAATGAAGCATCCCGGGAAGGGCCGAGAGAATTTGAGCTGGGAGGGTCCCTCACACAGGCAAGCACGCCTCCTTGAACCACGGGCAAGCACCATGAAGGAGGGCACTGCCCTGGCACAGGCAGAGCCTCCCCGCTTTCCCCCCTCTCCCCGCTCCCCAAGGGCCTCCAGATAAGCCAGTTTGTATCAGGGACTCTGCAACGGGCCACGCCAGGCTCTGTTGGGAAAAGATGCTCCACTGAAAAGAGACCATCAGATCGGCAACATTTCCCATCCACCCACTCAACATCAAGGAACCAACGGAGGATCCTTGGAGCACCTGCATGCGGAAGGAGGGAGAATGTACTTACACAAACACACACACACACACACACACACACACACACAGTTTCCATGGCCAAGCAGGGATTCAAGCTCAGTTCTCTAGGATGGTAAACTGACTTGTTTTTAAAGAAAGGCCTTAATTTAAGAGATAGCCGTACAACAGGCAATCTTTATTTGCAAAACAAAGCAAACCCATGCAGTGAAACTTGAAGATCAGGTAACACAGGTCATAGAGACAGAAAGAGGATTATAACTCACCACTGCTAGTCAACTTGTCTTACAAGAACATCCTCAGAGAAACAGTTCCTGATTCCGCTGATAGCCTCATCAATGGAGAGCTTATCAACCATATGTAGTATGTATTCAATGCAGTATTACTAGGAAAAAGTTTAGATGGTCTGCAAAGATTACTCAGTAAAGTTACTGAAGTAAATAACAAGCAGGTTGTCTGAAAGTGAATTTTAAGAAATCCGAGTTCATGGTAATCAGAGGAAAGCAAGCACTTGACGATCCGAAAGAAAAGTGTGGAGCATTTTGGCAGATGTCAGTACTTTGAACTCTGGTGGTGTGAATAATGAGATCAGAGACACACAATAGAAGTCAGAACAGTGGTGGCCTGGAGCAGTTTCTTTAGGATGAAGAATGTAACATGGAACAAAAACTTAGAATTGGCCTTGAGAATGTGAGGTCTACACTACTGTGCATCCGTAGAAATACACTCTTTAATATTAGCAACTTTTTTAAAAAAATAGAAGCATTTGAAATACACAGTAATTGCAGAATGCTAAGAATTTCTTGGATTGAGGGGCTGACTAGTGAAGAAGAATGAATAAAAGCCAAAAAATCACAAACCACGCTAATTATTTGAGGTAAAATAAAATCACAAACCACATGAAGTGCAGCTAATCATTTGAGGTAAAATAAACGGGAAGAGGGTGTTGAACAGAGAAGTGAAATTGTTACTGAGGGAGTTGAAGGCTGATTTGGTAACAACACTGTTTAGAGGCGCCACATGGAAAGTTAGTCTACCTGAGGTGACATCCAACTCCAGCAGGAGAGGAATAAGTAATAAAAACCAGAGTCAGTGCCACAACCCTGCTGTCAGTCCCGTTTTGTTCTGCATAGCTACAAAATCTGCAGAAGTCCTATTCTGCATTTGGCCACTCATCATTCGTGAATCACTTGGTAACAGGACATGAGCTGAGAGTACATCATACAGTCACTCTACTTAAGCTATTTCGGGTCTGGTCAGTTTCTGAATGGGAGACTACTTGTAGATCTTTTAGTGAGTTGAAGCATGGGGGGGTGTTGCAAAATGCATGCAAACCCCAGCTGAGTTCTCTGATGAAGACTGCCAAGGAGTACTGTACAGAGCACTTCCACTTAATATGTGGGACTGGTAGACTGGAG